GAGAACAAAGTAACTTATCAGCGGTGCGTAGCCGAAACATTCATGGCAAACAACAAAAGGCCATATGCCAGTCAACAATTTTCGTAAATTGAAGCATACCATCCCTGCACTTTTCACGACAGGCGGTAGATTACAAAGCGCCGAAGAAGCAGATAATACCCCGTGGCTACAATACGCTCCAACCTTCGGACTCGCAGCCTCTACCTGTCACATGAATCACCACATAGCGAATCGGTAATGTGGTTGACTTCATGTGACAGGTAGAGGCTGCGAGTCCGAAGGTTGGAGCGTATTGTAGCCGCAGGGCATTAGCTGTTTCTTCGGCGCTTTGTAATCTACCGCCTGTCGTGAAAAGTGGAGAGATGGTATGTTTCACTTTACGAAGATGGTTGACTGGCATATAGCCTTTTGTTTTTGCCAGGAATATTTCGGCTAGGCACTGCAGATAAGTTACTTTGTTCTCACGGACAAGTGCAGTGCAATGGTTGCGATCGGTCAGAGTCGGGGTTAACCTTGTACGCACGCCATGCTGCATCCCTCATAATCATGCGTTTTCGAGTCCTGCTCCCTAGAATTGAAGGCATTTTACTGGACCAAGGGGCTTAGTCTCTGGTGCTCTGGTGACCATGTCGATGAAACTTTCTACGAACTCTGTTTAAACGTTGTCAAGTGGACTATTGCTGGAGAATTACCAGGCCAACGCCTTGACGAGTTTTTTCAATACGTAGGGGCGTGTGATTGTATGAGTTAGTTCCGAGTGTTCAGATGGATACTCTTCATAACAGGCATAGCTAAAGGTTATTACTACATGGTCGCTGAGACCTAATGGATTCCCCATCAACAACTTATCAATCATGAGCTGTTCATTCGTGAGCACCAGGGTCAATATGGACGGTTTGTTTGCTGTCCCGAATCTAGTGGGCGTGGTGACATGATTGTACTAGGGAAGATTAACGATAAGTCCATGTAAGTCTGCCTTGAACTGTTCACTGGGTGATGCTGTTACCTCCAGATCGTGTAGAATGTAGTTCCCGGAAATGAGAATGTGGCTGCACCTAGTGCGCGTTACCCTGTTCAAGACACATATCGAGTGGCAATCCATTTCTGTAGTGGACGTTGCGGGACGGTAAACGACAACTATGTGACATGCGTCGTTGTGTCCTAGTCAGAGACGATAACAGAGTGAGGCAGTGGCGTGAGTTTCCTGATCATTAACTATTACACATTGCAGGTTGCTGCGATAGTTGAGAAGGACCCCACCTCCTCTGCTGGGGCGGCCGATCCGGATGAGTGACATTCCTGCTACTTCGAACTAAGCATCCGTCAGTTCTTGATGCAACCAAGTTTCGGTAATGGTAATTAGGATCAAACCATTCGCAACCTGATGTAGCCGAAGTTCGATAAGGTTTCTGAGGTGCCCTTGGGCTTTAATGTACATACATGCAAGTTTCTCAGATTTTAGCAATGTTTCGGAGGTTGTGCAACTCATATGTGAAGTTTCGCCGACCAGTGAGTGGCCGGCGAATAATGGTGTTTTCGAGGTGTACGTGGAGATGGGTTCAACCTCTTTTTGATCGTCTGCTTCTGCGTACAATGTAAGCTGTCTGGTCAATATCATCTTCAACAGGTTTTATTTTCTCCTTACACACACAGTACTGGTGCATTGTTCTTTTATAGCTCTCATTGCGTTTGGTTCATTGAGTGACATATCATCACTAGGAGGCAAATCGCTGACTGCCTTCTGCTGAAGCTCAGATGGTAGCCTGCAACGAAACGTGTGTTTTAGATATGTTTTGTGCCATAGGTTTGGACTGAAGAACCACCTTAAACACACTCAAATCACTTCCTTTGTAGTTCGGTGAAGTACGCAGCTGTGACACTGATTTCGTTAGCACATCATCCAAGCATACTGTTTCACGAATATAATGACACCACTGTTCTTTAGCATGGGTTGTTGTTTCTTGTTCAGTACATGCTTCAGTTTCGGGAACCCCGTAAAGAAGAGTGGTTCTGGTTGAAGTTTCCTTCCGGTAGTCCTCTAAGTTGCGGTTAACGCGATAACTCAATCCCATGGGATGATGTCTGGAAAGCTACGGATGGAGCAGTGTTCATTTCTGAGACTACGTGTCAACAGCAGTACTGATTATACTTCAGTGATGGAGTTCAGCACAACGCGCAGAAATCTTGACTCTCCGAAATGCTTAGAGTTTGGGTGCCGCATGATTCGCACCAAATGAACAGGTTTCAATACAAGTGCGGTTCGGTTAATAATGATGTCCCGCATGGTTGATGTCGCCCAACTTCCAGTCTCTAATTGACGTCGGTTTTGATTCGGGGACACTGGGGCATAGTAGGCTCAGTACAGGTAGTTGTTTCTTTACACCTTTCGATATGTCGCGGTTAGTGATTGAAATACTCGGAGATGTTCCACAGAAAACCGGTGGTGTTTGCACTAGAACTCCGCTACACTCCACTGTTCTTGATCCAGTTGGGAGTGAGGTTAATTTTAAATGACGGCTCTTCTTGGAAGCAACCGTAACGCAACCTTTGCTACCACCCGCTTGCACTTTTCTATGCACTCCGTCGTGAGATTGGAAGTAGTCTTGCGTGGAGTTACTCCGATCGAACTGGAAACAGCTTCAGTCAAATGTGAACCACGTGAGTTATTGGAACAGCAGTTAAGTTGCTGAGTTCTTGGTGTCGTTTTGCTTACTGTGTTACTAGCCCTCCTCCTCTGTATAGGAGCAGCAGTTACTGGGGAAGCTTGGGTTGCACAGTCCGCTATGCTTACCTCCAACGTGGTGATTTTGCTTACCATTTGGGTTATAATATTATCACAAGGTGGTGCTTTTAAAAACACGTTGAATAAGTACAGATCCAAAGGTGTGCGACAAAATGCCGCTAAGCTACAGTGGAAAAATCCCCGAGTGCATAGATTAGCGATTGGCACGCAGTTCGCTCAAGATAACGACCTTGTTTTCTATGTGGCACAGTATTAGCGTAGGACAGTTCACTGAAGTGCATACACTTGGTGTGCGCTGCATGAGTCATTAACCCAACCGTGATGAGGTCGTAGGAGGTAAACAGCCAACCAGCAAGAATTCAGCTTATTGTGATACTAGTTAACTCAGAGTGTGAAGATATTTATAAGCAGGCTGCCCTTCTACCACTCATTATGCATCCTACATTGAGGTCGCCTTACTTTATCGAACAACACATTGTAAATCCTCTGAAAATGTCACTTCTTCTCATAGACTAGAAGTGATAGACTACTCACGGAACAGGAGCTCATCCGACAAGCACTAGAACAAACTCAGCACAGGGTGTTGAATTTGGAGAACGAAATGACTACAAAACAAACTGAAGCCCGGAATATGGAGGTGAGCATCACTTTCTTTCTCGCTTGATACAACCTTAAGATGTGAACAGTTATAATGCTTTTGACCTTTTCAAGTTGATAGTCGTCTGGCCGAAGTAGTACGTAGGTTCCGCAATTTTGCATTGGTGGTCCAGCGGATGATACTCAGTTGCTCACCGACAACAAATGGACCACAAGCATAGAGACTCACTTAGGGAGTTTCGGCAACTAGTACAGTTAGCTGCGAGCTAGACTGTCAGTGTCTGAGTATCACCTAAACCTTCAACATAAGTTGCAACCCTAGACCTGGATAGATTGCAAATGAACCTAGTTGCCTTGCTCTCAGTTTGGTACCGAGTAAGCACCAACCACCATTTGCATTCACCAGAGTTTGTTACACCCAGTTTGCCATCATTGTGAGGGAACGTAACCTACCAATCAACTGCCAGGTGGGGTTTTCCTGCTGCACTGAAGTGTGGGAGGACCTTGGCCTCACGATGCGCTGCGTCTTTCTGGTATTCATAGAATCAAACAACTGACTTTATTACCAGAGATTTCTCCCACCGAACCAGATGTAGTGAACACAATCGGGCGGGTTCCCCGAATTCAACTTTGAATTCATTTCCGTTGTGCCAAGCGTTGCTCGCGGATCCCAATGGCATAGTTTTCAGGGCTCTGAGTTCCACCCCAACTCAGGTTGGCTCCACCTGATGAGTCCAAACGATGACACAACCGCGGTTGTGCTGTGCCAGTGTTGACAGGAGCAACTGTGAAACCCTTCCGCAATTGGGCTGCGTTATATGGTTCAGCAAAAGTACATTGTACCTTGCATTTATGCCAGATGCCAAGTTCAGGACTCCCGAAATATGGGCACGATGTTCAGAAACCTGGTGACCGATCCACACTGTGTGATCACACGGTAGTATACATTTGGCAATATGAGGTACGAATAGTCGCTCCAACAACCTTCGTCTGCGCTCAGGAATCACGAGCAACTGCTTACATATATAACGATGGTAGAGGAAAGTTTGCATAACACTTACAATTTGGCATATGGATTACAAATTAATAAGATAACCAACAGCGATTTACATGAAATCTACACGCCGTTCATAGTTTGGTTGGCTTTCCCTATGAACCGTATTGGTGAGTTCTGCTGCCCCGGCCTTCTCATTCCGGACTATCGAGATTTACCTATCGTCGTTGAAGCGAATGGAAAGTAGACTAGTGAAGCTGGAAGGGGAACTGTGTGCTAAAGCATGTGTGTTCCAAAAGTTGGACGTGAGTTGTGGTTAGTGCTGCTACCTCAGACAATTTGGTGATTATGTATGCAAAGTGCTTTGTGGAGTTCTTAAAAGGTATTTTAGAACAACAAAGTATCTACCACCATGTGTTTTCTTCAATGTTCAACTCAATGCTCTTGTTGATACTTCCATTGAAAAACACAACACTGCCTACCATTTGGATAACTAAGGTACCTCAGTCGCTGTTATAATGACTTGCTGACGTGTACGACCTCACTAAACCCAGAACTTCGGTTTATTAATAGTACAGCTTTTACTTTAACTCAGAATTTCACTTTAACGTCTTAGTACCAGTTCGGCATGAGTAGCTGCACCCCATATGTTCATATGTTCATAATATGATGAACCTTGACCCTTGTCACTCGCAGAAACATAATCAACTGTTGTCCGAAAAGATTGCCAATTTGGAATCGGATGTTTCGATGAAATTAAATGCAACCCTAAAACAAGCCTCGGTGATCGAAGAATTGCAAGTAAGTCCTTTACTTAGAGATCTTTGTTTACACCAACCGCATTGCTAAATCCCCCTGCTTGATAGGGACGGTGCTTGAGTACGGCTCACCCGCCTTTTGTCTGATCACAATAAGTGAGGTGCAGAGACTGGAACGGGTTCAGCATGTAGCTACCCGGCTCATCCCCACTATACGGGGTATGTCGTACGAGGACCGACGTAGGAGAATAGGGCTTTATACCCTGTCATATCATCGGCTCCGAGCTGATCCCATCATGACGCACCAGATACTGCACTTGGGCCACTTACGTACACTGATGTCGCTGCTGCAGTTCGCGCACCAAGCAGCACACGCGAACACCGGTAAAAACTGGTGGTACCGGATTTAAAGCACATCGCTCACCCTCTTTGCTTCGAGCGTCGAGTGGTGAAATATTGGAACAAATTGTCGGAGACTCTAGTCGAGGCGAAATCGTTATCGGAATTTAAGAGATTCTTTGACGTCCACTTTGCGTGCTACAGGTATAGGGAGCGTATCGCACCGAAATAAAATGTAGTGCAGCTTCACTATGCTGCCACCGCGCAGGAATCAGCGACGTGATTCCGAGCATGTGCCCGATCCCCCTACAACGCAGCAACGCAGATTTTTATCTACTCGCTCTGTAGTTTCAGCATTCAGTATTCTACCTTCGGGTGTTAGCTGATGGATCCGTAGGTATACAGCACCCACTAACTTTGGAGTGTTGCTGACAGCATTGAAGTAACGCCGTCTCCTTTGATTCGCTGAGAGCACGTATAGATTGAAGGTTGTAGACCGAATCGTATTTACACTGGCAAAACTTTCTGTCGATATTCATTTATCTAATTCAGCTAATCTGCATCCAGCTGCCAAATCATCCTACCCAACTGCGCAATCCTCGAGAAATGTCTCCTATGCCGCAGCTGAAGATCGGTCGATGGAGTCCTTTGACGTGTATCACTAGAACTCTTCGTGAGTATACCACGGTCGTGTCATTTGTTGCCCTCCGACTACGCAGCTAGTGCGCACTCGGTTTATGATAATCAAGTTACTACAGCCACCGATCAGACTGAGTGTACGTGTCATAACTTAGTTGTGCCCGTCAAAATCACCTACATTGTCTCACTATCAACATGCAAAAGTCAAAATTCGTTTAATAAATACGAAATGTTGACAGCCTAGAGAAAAGATGGAGATGTATGTGTGCGCTAAAAGCGTGTGTCAGGGAAAATTCTTGCATAAGAAAATGACTTCCAGATTCCGGAGTCACTGATTGTATGATTGTTGACAGGCTGATTGTTAGTGCAGTAATGTTTCGCGGTTGCTACTTTTTGGTATTTATAATCTTGTCAAAACGCTGCTACTGTCCCTTCTTCTCTGGTTACTTGCGTGCCCAAACGAGGCCAGGGCGACGGAACTTCACGAACAACGCACAGCACTCGTTTCGTATTGGTATCTGTGTTCTACTCAACCAGTTTCACTCTCACCAAATAGAGGTGCATGCAGACGCCTGCTAGTCATCCCTACATGCGCCGTTGCTTGCGATTAGGCATAGATTTATGCGTCGTACCTCACAGGCATGTGAAAATTCTCTCTCCAAGACTAGCCAGACAATAGGAGAACTGCAAACATCGTACTAATAGAGGTTTTAATAAGACCAGTTATAACGATGATGGTACCAGCATACATATACGTAGTATATTAGAAAATGTTGGAAGATTGCGGAATCAAATCGACCGAACGCTCTGCCAAGGCTGACACTGAGTACCGGTTCTCACGCCTTTGCGGATTGTTTCTAGCAGTTGAGATCGTCCTGGACCGGTATCCCAAGATCAAACTCCTGAGAGGCATTCTGCAATGTGTTTTCTCCAAGCTCGCAGTGCTCACTAACTGATGTCGGAGGGAAATCACCCCGCACTTTGCTGCGTTAAGTCCACCACTTATGAAAGCAATCTAGGTGGAGGAAGCCGTGATGTATATATATATATATATATATATATATATATATATATATATATATATATATATATATATATATATATATATATATATATATATATATATATATATGGTGGAGATTAGCAAACGCAACCCGGGCGTTAAAAACACACAAAGAGACCACACCCGTTAAACCATTAGCACCGTTGCAGCTTCCGAGGCAAACGAAATCGTATACCACTTCCAGAGAATGAGCCAAAAGCGTAAGGATAGGAGCAGCGTCTAGCCAGTCCTGTACGAAGTGACGAATATCATCCCAAACTATGAGACAGACTCCTCTAAACTGCACAACAAATTCTGGGCGGCCGGTGAGGAATCTCATTTTACAGCGATGTCGTCCGTGTACTCCAAATCCCGAAGTCAGTCCCCGGAAGCAGCTCAACGCCGCTGGGTCCACAGTTCTCCAGGCGCTCTCCAGGGTGTCATCCATAGCGAAAGTGAACAAGAAGTGGATGCTGGGCAGCCCTGCCTTACGCCCCTGGCGATATAAAAAGAGGAGAAAGTTCGCCGTACACGCACTGGGCCCGAGGTTCGAGAGTACATGGCTCGAAGAATGTTGACGTACTTCTCAGCCACTCCTCTTCGCAAAAGACAGCTCCAGAGAACAACTAGGTAAACTGAGTCAATCGCAGCTCACATGTCGAAGAAGACAACGATAGTTGGCCGGCCGAACCTTTGACGACGCTAGAGTATGTGGTGGAGAGTAAAGATGTTATCGATACAACTCCGGCCAGAGTGGAACCTAGCTTGCTCTTCGCGTACGTTCTGTTCGCGTACCGGCTTGTATGTACAGATTGTTCCGACACGAATCACGGTTCCTTACTTTAAAATAACACACGTTTTCTGAACAACTCCATGTTCCGTTTTTGTGCACGGTTATTGCAAAATTCTATCAGTTCTCCTGGCACCAGCCAAGTTGTACTTCATGGACATTTCGCCGCTCTGCGTTCCGCTATAAATATCAATTACATTTAGAAGTGTTCATCTAGAGGGGCTGGGATACCTAAGGTGTGAAGATTGGAGTCGTCTGACAGGAAAACGAGACTGAGTGCGTGGAGGTGAACAGTCTACATATCAGAGGCTAGACGATTGTCTGTTTTCCAAGCGGACGACGGAGAGGGGTACATGACATCCGCTGAACATGTGTCGCCACGTCTCAGGTAAAGACGGCACCAAAAGCGCGTCGATAATATGAACCACCCGGTAATCTATGAGATTAATGGGTAGGTAACTGCGGTAGTAGAGAAGTACACCACCCCTATCTGATCGACCGACTCGCAGAATAGACATTCCAGGTAGTACTATTTTTGCGTCACTCATCATTTCTGTCAGCCACGTGTCAGATACCATGATGTGGTCCCAGGATATCGGGGCCTGACGCAACCGGCGCTCCAGCAGTTTGCTGAAAGGCGTTGTTCGTTCGCGTAGACAGCAGGTGTGAGACTCGGCCGCCCACTTATGACACCAGCCGTATGAATACTGCTAATTTTTTCAACCTTATCTTCCCGAAAGTTTCGCCTTTGCTCACAGCTTTCGGCGCTGTTTACCTCCGTGTTTCCTTCTTTTACACCCATATACGTGGTCACTAAGCACACCCAGCACAGTCCGTCGTCGCTCTCTCCGATTTACCTTTATATTGTACTACTAACCTAGGGTGAAGTAGTATGTACAATAGACCCAGAAACATGCGTTACCGAATTCCAGCGGCTACTGTGCACGCGTGGGGTACTATGGCGCGTCCGGGATGTCTACCGAGTTTCATTGACGTACCGTAAATTGCCGCACATTGTCCGCCCTGAGAATACACCGAGGAATTCTAGCGGCAGTCCGGAGATCCAATCGGATTTCACACGATGCACTACCCACACATTCGCGGTTTTTGCGCACCCCAACTTGTACGGCGCTGCAAGCGATGAGGGGCAGGCTACGGATAACCGAATGATCGATACATTCTAATCATTGTTTGGGGACAGAATGTTTCGCGGAAAACTGGATGCCTGTGGATTCTTTACTGATCGATTTTTAGCCGTAGCACTGAAGTTACTGTTACATACATGGTCTACTGTGGTAAAATATAGTGAACATCGCGTTGGAGGACGAACGTACACGTGGCGCACAATTGCTGCTCTTTCATCGCATCTAGGTTCCCATTAAGGTAGACAGACCGAGGCACACGTGAGTAATGAGTTTTCGATGTGCCCGTATTGGTATCAAAAGTAATGTTAAAACACAGTTATGGTGGGCACGAGGGTAGACTGAGAACTAGCTTCCAAAGAACCACTGTAATTCCGAACAACGTTCGTTCGTTTCGACTAAAATTCGAAACAGCTAGTACGCGTTATAAAACCTAGTTAAAATTCAGTTCAGGTAAGTTTTCAAATTAGCGACCAAATTTGTCAACTTGCATCCTACGTGTGGACATCCGGTTTCTTTTTTAAGTATATATAAAATAGTGTGTGCATAAGGATACTTCTCATAATACTCATCATAAACAATTGCCTTTCCAACACCTATTAGGCGCCATGTTAAGCAATGGCCGATGTACGTTATTTGTTGCCTTGTTGACCCTCATACGCAACTTTCTTGAACTATCCGTCACTTGCTTCCGTGTTCGTCTGTTCTGTCCTTCGTGTTACCTGTTGATACTGTTTGGTTAAACTTTCCTGTAATGAATATGTGTACAGCGACCATTGCCCTTTTCTGAGTCTTTTTTGTTTTTTTGTTTGCTCTTGTCAATTAGTTTGCTTCAGTCCTTTCAGCTTTCTATGATATTTTCAAAGCCATTCTTAGAAACCACCTTTCGATTATCTCTAACAGTGTTTACACAGTTTTGGAGAAAATAAATTAGAGAATGAATGGTTTGTTCCCGTCAGTATGAGGCATGCCTGAAAGGTATAATCATTGTAATGAGAACATGTATGATAGGTAACTAAACAAACATGTCACAAGTTAGCCAGCAACATACTGACTTTAGGTAGCTACGTGTGTAGCTAGCTGTGTTGAGT